ACAAGAGAGTAACAAACATAAAAAAGAAGAAGGGGAGATAAGGACGATAGATGTTTGATAGGAAAGAAGGAGCAAACCACACCAGAGCACCCGCCAACCACCCACAAGAGTAAATGGAGAGCTCTCCTCAAGCATTAACAGTAGTTTCCCTCGTAGGGCACACAACAACATTACATCAAAATATTAAGATCCAAAAATATAATACTGTTAAAAAAAGATAAAAGATAAAGAGACCACAACAGACCAAAAAAACACGAAAACAACCCCAAAACCCACACATACAAGGTCGCTTTTAAGGACAAGCGGGCTAACCCACATTTCGGGGGTTTCCGGAAATCTTTACCTACACCAAAAGTGGGCATTTCCCTACTTATAGGAGAAGTATGGTAGCATTGGTGTGTTTATTTGTTCGGATATAGAGAAAACTCTCCTTGTCTTTTAATGAAACTGAACAAGGGTCCAAAAACTTTCTTCGATTTTCGAAAATCAGCATTTATCGGTATAGCCCCCTTGTGCTTAAAAGCAACCATATAGGATCCTAGAAATATGTTTGGATGACAAAGACAACAACAATAAAAAACGTCCCCACCTTTCTTTACAGACTGCCAGAGCTGGGCCTTGTTGGCGCACTGCCCCCTTGTGCTTAAAAGCGACCACATGTAAACTACACGCACACATACATGTACTTCACTACACACCCACCTGCTGACCCAATCCAGCCCCTGCTTGATGGCGGTGTAGAGGTCTCGCTGGAGACGGTCCATGACCAGCAGCACGGCCGGTGAGGTCCCTCCCCCGTACATGTAGTCGATCACCGACCCACGCAGCATCACGATACGGTCGTGGTCCGGGATATTTCTGTCACGTACAAAAATAATAATAATAATAATAATAAATAGCATTTATACTGCGCATTTCTATTTCCTAATAGATGCTCAGTGCGCATTACAACAAAAAAGACATCACATCTTAAAAATTAATCGACAAGTGTGTACGCAAAACAAAGCATTATACATACAATATAAATGCATGTGTGTAAAATTTTATACGAGAAAAACAGTCGCGCAGTGAGGTTGAAAATGCTTTTTTTTACTGGACTTCAACACCAGTTGAATAAAACCCTCTTCTAAAATCTCACTTACTTACTGCCATACAATTCATTTTTTAAAAAGGAGGATATTAAAATATGCCTCTTTCAAAAACATAAATTACCTATTGGTAATGATTCTTGTACGCATCAAGGAAATCCAAAAAAAAACAATTTATTCATTAGTGTCACGATGTGGTGGAATCAGGCGCTCGTCAATTTTTGGGCATATAGGGTTATCGGTATCACCTTAAAGCCTGTTCATTTGCCTTCCTTTAGACTTAAGGTGAAAAAAGATCCTTCTACGTTGATTAGAAATCTAAATGCATTGTATTTGCGATTGAAGGAGGTCAGGTTTGCCTGGTCTCAGAGGTAAAATTAGCGAGAAAATGGCCGTCAAAGTGTGGTAACTTCCATAGCCTGAGAGTCCTTGGAAACTGAAAATTTACATTTTCTGTGCCTTTACTCAATGTTTTTCAGTAAAATCCACACAAAAAATGTGTTTTTAAAAGGACATAAAAGGTGTTTAGCCCTCCCCCCAAAAGAAAATTACCAAAAAAATTGCCCATCGGCCCCCCAAAAATGCTGATTCCTTTGATTTTTTTATTTTGAGGATCGCCTGAGTTCATCCCAATGCCTCACTGGAGTGTCACCAGCTGTATAAAACCTTCTTCAAAACTCTCATTTACTAATATTGCTATACTATTACATTTTTAAAAAGGGTGGATGTTAAAATAAAACTTTTAAAAACATCTTGTTTGTTTTAGTAGAGGCTTTACCGCACTCACAACTGCATAAGGTCATATGAATGCCAGAAGAATAGAGGTGTTACAAGAGAGTAACAAACGTAAAAAATAAAGGAGGAGAGATAAGGACGATAGATGTTTGATAGGAAAGAAGAGGCAAACCACACCAGAGCACCCGCCAGCCTCCCATAAAAACGTCTATGGCTACGTCTTGTAGTCACAAGCTCAAAGGCGACTTGTTAGTTTGTTCACTTGTTTGAGAAAAGAGAAGCACATTGACACAATACTGGTCATTTGGTGCTGGGGGGAAAGTAAGACAGACAGACAGACAGACAGAGACAACAGAGGGGAAAGTAAGACAGACAGACAGAGACAACAGAAGGGAAAGTAAACAGACAGACAGAGACAACAGAGGGAAAGTAAAGAAGTAGGACCTTCAAGGTTTTTTTGTGTAAGTTTTTGATAGAGTCTTGCAACACAATAAGGTCATAAAAGTGCCGAAGAATAGATTGTGTGTTACAAGAGAGTAACATGCACAAAAAAAGGACGAGAGATAAGGACGACAGAAGTTTGATGGGAAAGAAGGAGCAAACCACACTAGAGCACCCGCCAACCGCCCACTGGACCTACCAGTGATGCCCTCCAACCTTAAGGTTACTGGAATAACAACAACAACAACAACAAAAACAGCAACAACAACAATAAAAACAGCAACAACAACAACAGCGTTAACTGCCTCCTTTCTCCTTTATCACCATCCATTACCAAAGATTAGCCAACCAGGAAATGAGTACCCACTGCACACACACACACACACACACATACACACACACACAGCAGAGGGCAAGTTACCCTTCTCAGTGACACACACACACACACACACACACACACACACACACACATTACACACAAACACACACCACACACACACACACACAAACATACACACACACACCCACACACACACACACCCCACCTCCCATCCTACCCGCCACCCCCCCTCTCATCACCCGCTATCTAAAGCCCTCAAGAACAGCACACAGACCACAAACTCGCTGCCGTAACAAACTGGCAAATGTGCCGGAGTGTGGGGGTTCAAAGACAGGGGGTGGTGTTGTTTTTGTGAGCGTTTTACAGCACCAGTAACAAACACAAAAAAGAAGGAGGAGAGGAGAGATAAGGACGTTAGCTGTTTGACAGGATCACCTGCATAACCACCCGTCAACCACCCGCATAACTACCCGCCAACCACCCGTGGCGTGAGACTCACTTGGTGTAGAAGAACTCGAGTGCCAGGTCGTTCCAGTGCTTGTCGTCGGGAGGTACAACCGACTTGATGGCGCACGGCGAGTGGCTGCCCCACGTGTCGCACGAGTACACCACCCCGTACTGACCCCGGCCGATCTCACGGCCAATCTGGGGCATCCCTGGAGACGAGCGAGAGTGGAGGAGTCAGGAACGTACGTACATATTAACAAAGACTAGTCGTGAGAGGAAGGAGAGTGGTTGGGGGTGGGATCAGGGGTGCATCATAATACAGACTAGCGGTGAGACGAGTCAGGGAGGGGAAATCAGGGACATGCATAACACAGACATGGGGAGACAGGGGTGAGAGTCGGGAACCAGTGACGTATAAAAAGTAACACAGAAAGAAAAGGGGGGGCGAGGGACACATATACACACAAACATACACACACGCGTGCGCACAAGAAAATACACAAAAAGAAAAAAAAAGTTTAGTATGAGTTTTACGGCACTTGCAACACAATACAGTCAAATAAGTGCAGAAGAATAGATGTGTTACAAGAGAGTAACTTACACAAAAAAGAAAGAGGAGAGATAAAGACGATCGAGGTTAGATAGGAAAGGAGGAGCAAACCACACCAGAACACCGCCCAACAATCTGAACACAAACCCCCCCCCCCCCAAAATAATAAAAACTCCCAAAAAACCCCGAAGCCTGACCATTGAGAATGACGTCGCGCAGAGACGTGCTCTCCAGCGCCAGTTTGGCCAGGCGCGGCGCGTGGACCTTGCGCAGCTTCAGCCGGTGCTCCTCGATCTTGTCCAGCCGGCCCGTGTGGCGCAGCTCCAGCTGGCGCAGTGCGTTGCTGAATGCCTCGTGCGACCGATTCAGACGCTCCTTGATCTGGGACGAGATGCTCTTGGCCAGCCTGGTGACGAGACAAGACAAGACGAAAAAAAATATGGTAAAATAGTAAAAAAAAAAGTGCCACATTTTTCTACCAGTTTGAAAATATTTTTTGAATTTTTTAATTTCTTGGCTCAACACGCACATGTCCAGTTTTAAAAAAT